CACACACACACACACACACACACACACACACACACACACACACACACACACACACACACACACACACACACACGCACACACACACACACAGCTGCAAAGAAAAAAAAGGAAAAAACACTCAGACACAACCCCACCCTTTGCACAGCTATGGTACGATGTGGGCCAAGTGGTGTTCTATGGCCTGAGGGATGCTACGTGGGTTGGATGGTAACATTGGACAGGGCAGCACCATGCGCGGCAGGCCATCTGTATGGAGTGGATGGTCCCCACATTAAAAAATCCTGCAAAAAACGAAAAACTTCGAGGAAGATAGACATGGCCATGACAAGAGAAAGAAAAAAGACACACGGCCAAGTTGGGCCAACATCAGACACAATTCGGCCCTGCCACGGCCAGGCAGTACTTTGTGGGCTGAGTGGTATAATGTGGCCTCGCCGCCTGGGTGATACCGTGGACGTTGGGTCATACCATGCAGGGACGGTCATTTCACGTAGAAAGCGAAGTACTATGTGGGATGTGGGTTGGGAGGTACGGGTTACTGGTACTATGTGCGCAGGGTGACATCTTGTGGCTTGGGTGATACTAAGTGGGTTGGATGGCACTATGTGGGGTGAGTCGTACTAAATGGGTGGTACCAAGTGGGTTGGATGTTATTATGTGTCCCACGTAATACCATGTGGGTTAGGTGGTACTAGTTGGCGTGGGTCATAGTGGGAGTAGTGGGTGAGATGACAGGAGGGTGACAATCCTGAGTGGTAGACATTGAGGTACGATTGTGGGAGTAGGGTGCTGTGGCATACTGCGTAGCCACACGGGCCTGCAGGGCCCGTCCCGCATTCTCAGCCTAAAAGCCTAGAAATAAGGGCTTACAGGCCCCGTGTCATTTCAGCCTGAAAGACTGAAAACGAGGGCCTGCAGTCCTTATGTCGTTTCAGCCTAAAACAGGGCTTTTCAGCCCTGAGGCTTTTCAGCCTGAAACGGAGGGCCACTTTCGGGCCCTCATAAGATCGAGCTACCCTAACACTCAGTGACTCAGCACAAAACCAGGGTTTTGGGAACAGGCTATTTTTGGCCTGTTCCCACGACAGCCTCAAGCAGGAGCTGCAGCGGCAGCCCCTGACTCCCTTCGGCATTGGCAAGAGCAGCCTCCTGGACTGCCTCGCCCTGCAGTCAGGAGGCAGGCCGAGTASTACATAGGGAATTCCCATGCACTTCACGGGTAGGTAGTTGGACAGAAGGCAGGAGTAGTCTTCAGGATTCGGCCGCAGCACTCAGGAGGAGCGCTGCAGGAGTAGCTTAGCGCTAGCAGTAGTCTTCAGCCTTCTGGCATCAGCTGGAACCGGTTTCTGGCATCAGCTGAAGCTCGGTAATGGGCCCAGTTCGGGTAGAATTGTGAGGTTTCTGGCCTCCGTTCCATTTTTGCTTAAGCCTCCACTACCTTTGGCTTAAACCGTCACTACCTTTGGCTTCAACTGCCACTAACTTTGGCTTCAACCGCCACTACCTTTCTCATATGTCTGCCACAGGGTGTGGTTTGAGAGGGAGGTAGGGGCAATTTTTTTGGATGTGGTCATTTTCCCACAGGTAGTGGCGCTTTAAACCACCAATACTTCCTTAAGGTGTGCCCCCCTTAACAAGCCAAGTCGTGCCCAGGTTAACAAGCCACAATTTTAGGAAACGTACGGGCCCCTGCAGGAGTGCCCAAATTCATCCGATGAGAAATGTTTCTACTCTACTTTGTTCCACGGCCTATAGCTGGCCCAAGTACTCAGTCTGGTGGTTTACTAGAATCATACCGTTTTGCAAAAGAAAAAAAACTCTTAGGGCATACTCGCGACCCCAAATCTGCAAAATATGCGGATTTGGGAAGGGCCTATTTGAGGTTTTGGGCATGGTTCATGTCACACTGCTGTATTTTTTCAGATGGGACAAGGTCTCTGCCGTCTGGAGAAATGGAATTTGGTACTTGGCTGGTCACACAGCGTCATCCACAAATTGTGCAAGAACTTTCGTGATTGTTGAAGAACATGCCCAAAAAAAAGGGCATTTCGTGTTACCTCCAAATCCCTTGCCCCACGGCTTCCCAGGCCATCCCCCCCCCTTTTTTTCTTTTTTTTTTCGGTCACGCGCCGTGCCGTGGCTGGGGGAAAAGAAAAAAAAAGCCCCATGGTCGGGCCACGGTCGAGATGTCTCGCCCACACCCCAGATTGGCCACGGCTGAGATGTCTCAGCCACGGCCAAGATTTTAAGGGGGGGAGGGGTGGAGGGAAACGGCCACCTGTTCCAAACTCTGCGGAGCGACTTTTCTGCAAACTGGAGGTTTGACTGCATAGTAAACTTCCGATGGGACTGGAATTAAAAAACGCAGTTTGAAATGCATTCAGAAACTGCTTTCATGACTGCGGCCTAGTTACCCCTTTTTTTTGTTTTGTTTTTTGTTTGGACCATTTCTGATTGATGTGTGATATCCCGTCTCCCTCCAATTTTGGGGCTCGCAGCCTACTGTCTCCTTCCAATTTTGGGGCTCGCAACCTAGCCTTTCGAAACGTGCAAAATGGATGCCGCATCTTCGCCACACAGGCTTTCGAAACAAGTCCATTCGAAAAACTTTTGCAAGGTGTCAGAGACGCGGGCATCAAAGTAGTTTCTAAAGGATAAGATCATTTCACTTTTCGAAAGGGCAAGACCCTCCCGCCTTTCGAAAGGGCAAGACCCTCCCGCCTTTCGAAAGGGCAAGATCCTCCAGCCAGTCACGAATGTTTCTCCGAAAGACCGTGAGCGGTCTTTTGGAGTGAGTGGTCTTTTGGAAAGGGCCTCCCAAGTCGGCCGATTACCAGAAGAGAAAAAAAAAAAAAGGGGGCGATTACCAGCGCCTGGCTCCCCACTACTCTCTACATGCACAAACAAAAAAAAGAAAAAAAAAAAAGTCATGGTGGCGTATTTTTCCATGTTCAAGGGGAAGATTCACACCGTCCTTTTGCACATGGAGAGAGTAGTGGAGAGACGAAAGCCCTCGCTGTTTTGAAAGTCTGTGTGGCCAAGGGGGAGTTTCTTTCTAATTCCGTCTGACAAATTTTGGAAAGTGCCTCATTTCGAAAGGTTGTGCCGCGAGCCCCTTTAACGGATGTCCCGAAAGACGGACTGCACACTTTTCTGATTTTTTTCTAAGAGGCTGATCCCACCTCTTTTCTTTTTTTGTAGAAAGCAAAAAGAACCGTTTTGTAGGGCCCGGTCCGTAATAGAGCCACCAATTTCGGGACTTTTACTGAGGATGCTGCGGAAAGTCATGGGCGGTGAGGGATACCCAGTTTCTGAGGTGTGTCCACCCGGACACTTGGTGGGGTGTTGTGCGGCTGGCCACGTGTCTCTTCCCTTTCTCCTCACATCGCACAGCCCTTTGGACAAAGGGACTTTCCAAGATGATGATGTGGACATCAAAAAAAAAAAAAAAAAAAAAAAAAAAGGAAAAGCCCCCCTTCTCTTTCGGGGAAGGGTAGGGGGGTGTCTTTTGGCTTTCAAAATGCAAATGCGCCCAGCTTGCCACATCCCGAATCATTTCCACTTCCTCGAAAAAAGCTCGAAATCTTGCAACGTCCCAAATAGTTTCCACCTCCTCGAAAAAAGCTCCAAAAAAATGGGGCCCCTCCGCCTCGCTTGGAAAGAGGTGGGATCCCGAAAATTCCCTAGAAGTGCCTCGCGTACTAGATGTGGGATCATACTCTAATTCATTCTCTTGGCCACAAATTTGAAAATGGTTGTAAAAAGGAGAAAAAGAAAAAAATGGTTGTAGGGCTACGGTGAGGCCACTGTTTTTTTCTCTAATGCTCCGGTCTATTGGGGGGGAGCCGCACCTGCTGGAAACCGGGGGCCCATACTCACACTAGCACTATTTTACTTTTTTTCTGGACAGAATTGCGGCCGGCCAGATGCATACAGGTTCGGCGGGAAATGGGGTAGTGTTAGTGTGAGTACGCCCTAAGCCCTACAGACTGGAGGATGACTCAGCCATTCATCCTACAGTCTCAAGGATATGGGGGAGTCAGCACTGCCCACCTGCAGCCTGATTTGGTGAAACTCAGCACCTGCTTTCTTTCACGTTTTCTTAAATAGCAGACTTGCTTTCTTTCACGTTTTCTTGAATAGCATCTTGCAGTTTCACTGCCGTGCGGGCCTGATCTGTCCCCATCAAAACAGTCATGTTGCTCAGTTTATGGTTCTTAATTATCTCGACAGCATATGTCTATACGATTTTTCGGTGATGCAGTTTCACTCACCGCTGATCTTTCTCTATAAGAAAACAGTCATGTTGATTAGTTTACAGTTCTTAATCGTGAAAAGTAATCAACATAACTGTTTTGTTGGGGAAGGATCAGTCGGGCGTGAACTACATCACCAAACACAGTCGTACTTTTGTGCCTTTGGGTCTCGTTAGACACTCCTAAAAGAGCCTGTTTTTAGGATTGCGTCTTGGTTGCACGCAATCCTAAATCCAATTTTGAGATCGAAAATGTGAAAACGGCGTTAGGACGAGTCCTAAAGGATTTAGGATTCACCAGACAAAATCGGCCTAAATTTTCCAGTAGCTCCCGACCTACTGAAAAATTTAGGATTCCCTCATTTCACGGACTCGTTGCGTCGCGCGCATGGCACCGTCGACACGGAGTTGCTGGTGCAGAAGCGGTCCGTGGGGTCAGTGGTCGGACATCGGAGAGGTTTTCTACGGGTCGACGCGGGCAACGGCCATGAACGGTAGTCGTTGGCGGGGATTGGACGGACATTGGCAGAAATGGATGGACATTGGCGACGCGGCTGCGTATACGCATATGAAAACAGGCCGCGGGAGGACGAATCCTAAAAGATGATTTTTAGGATTGCATATAACGGCACCGCACGAAATCCTAAAAATCCTTTAGTACTCGTCCTAAAAATTTTAGGATTCTTTTAGAAGTGTCTAACGAGACCCTTTATCTTGCTACTGTTGATGCAGTTTCACTGGCCACCGATCTTTCTTCAAAAGACCACTCAGGTTGCTTAGTTTACAGTTGTTAATCATAACAGCAACACACACACACACACACACACACACACACACACACACACACACACACACACACATATATATATATATAGTCACATAACTATACACTAAAAGAGTGCACTTTGCGAAACAAACGGCAGAAACAAAAAAATAAAAAACAACACAAACATGAAGGGCACACTCAAACCATTCATTTTTCTCATTCTTCTTTTAACTCCCCCTTCACCGTGCCTCTCACGTACAAGGCTCGCAATGTTGATGAAGTTCAGCGCGAGCTGCCCCCATCCCCGTGTACCATAACGGTCCACTTGTACGCTGTGAGAAAGGGGCAGAGTGAAGGGGGAGGGGATAAACACAGGGAGGAGAGATGGAGAGCAGACAAACAAAGACCGATAAAGGGAAAGTAAGGGAAAGTAAGGGAAAGTACGGAGTGTGGAGGCTCAAGAATGAGTCTGTCCTTGACGACAGAGAGGAGGTGGATGAACACATGGAAGACCTAGCTGAGCATTCTCAGTGCAACAATTGCGACGACCGCTGGCATTGAGCATGCCCACCATACACCCCCGACAAATGGCATGTCGATTGCAGGCCAAAATGAAGGAAGAACGGTCACCACAAAAGACCATGCATTCACTATTGCGCCCATGGCCACAAAATGGACATGTAGTGTTTGGATGGGGAGGGTGCCTGCAGTCAGGAACGGAGGGACAGTCATGTGCACACATGGATGCAGAAACCATGTCATTGTAGTGATTGTGACAGAGATGATAGTGGCTACAACCGAGTGTAACAGTAGTTGCGGTTGTGCAAAGGAGAAGGCCGCATAGTGTTGGTACATTGTTTTGCTGCAACAAGGGGCCCAAGGAATGTTGTTCAACATAAAAGAGATTGCGGACGGTTTGTTGAGGCAAAAAAACAACATCATTTTGTAAGAAATCAGTGACATCAGTCATGGTATGGACCATGGTGCCGTTGTCCCATAGCTCCCAGTGGTCAGAGGCATGTACAGTGGTCATGTAATGGCCAGGCCCGTGCACAATGTCAGCAGAGATGTGGGATGTAGGATTAAACCACTCCCCTGCTCTAGCATTGCATAGTTCAAGTTAACGGTCCCTCATTGCTACTTGTAGGGCATCAATGGTAAAGTTTCCTTCACTTGTATAATTAAAAAACTCTGGCTGTAGTTGGGGAAGATCAGCATCAAGCTGAAGGGCGATTGCAAGGAAGTCTAATGGTGTATAAGACGGGTGGTGGAGAATGTGAAGACAAATATTAGTTGTCATCAGACCACGGAGATTGGTGAGGTTGTCAGGCTGGTTTGTTGGATGTTGGCCAGCAATTTGCAGATCACCCAGATGGTGTTGCAAGGCCAAACTTTATTGGGTTGTTTGCTGGTCGGTTATTTGCAGATCCCCCATGTGGTCTGTGCGTGCCGGAGCACAAATTTGTGGTTCACCCAAACAGTGTTGGTTAGCCATTTGCAGATCCCCCATGTGGTCTACGCCTCGAGGGGTCAACTGCAATCCGGGCAGATCATGTTCCAATCCCTCAACGTTTAAGGATGCATCCTGAGTAGGGACTGTCCTTGGAGTCGGGACTGTACTCTGGGCAGGGACCACATCGTGTTGTACAAACATCTAATACCGCAGGGTATAAAACATGTTGTCGTGGCTGCCTACAAAAATCTGGACTATTTGCAGGAGGCATAGGAGCGGATATTGCCATTTGAAACAAAGAAACCGTAACAACCTGTGGAGGAGGCACAAAGAGAATCGGGGCAGACAAAGAAACAGGTTGTTGATCCCCGGACCAGTGACGATGTCGCGGATATCGTCGACGATACACAACAAGAGGAGTAGTGGTGTTGCAAACACAAGATGAACTTATCCCTAGCAACGAAGGTGAAACAATGGGAACAATGGAAACTGGAGAGTTTGTTTGCAAGAGAGACCATGGAAGAGATGCGGGTGGTGAGGAGGAACGTAGCCGTTTGCGGCCAAGCACAGAAAGAGATGAGAGGGGAGTGGATTAGGCAAGATTTCGGAATAAAGGACGTGAGTGTCGGACAGACTGTGATGTTCTTTACACTGGAGCTACAAGAGAGGAAGTTGTAGCAGTAAAAACTACACTAGGGGGATCTACAGTTATGAAAAATGTTGTACTGAAAACTGAAGTAGTGGAAACCGCAGCAGTAGAAACTGCAGCAATGGAAACTGAAGCAGTGAAGACGGCAACAGTGGACACTTTAAAAGTGAAAACCGCAATTGTGGACACTGCAGCAGTGTAAACCGCAGGAGTGGAGACTGCAACAGTGGAAACCGCAACAGTGGACACTGCAGGAGTGGAGATTGCAGTAGTGGAAACTTCGGTAGTAGAAGAAGAGCAACCAGGGGCGGGACGAGAGCGTCGTGGGGGCGAAGAAGAAATTGGATGATAAAAGGATCATCGCAGCATGTGTCGAAACCACTGAGAAAGACGCGTCACACGTGTAGGCCCACCCCTTAGCACGGGTTGGTGGGGAATGCCCACGCGAAAGCATGTGACGAATACTTGTTGTTGCCACAATTCGAAAGTCCTGCCAATTATTACAGATTTGTTCAATCTGGTCAATTGTCCAGTGAACACACCAGCCGGTTGATGGGAAGAGATGTTGGAGGTCGCACTAGGATAATGAATGACAGGGAAGTCCCAAGCAACCACTTTATCAAAGACGCTCATGCGAAGCGAGCCACCAGAACGGATCCGTAGATGCATACCTAAAAAGGTACATGAGTCATTGGTCGCTGTAGTCTCCTTCCACTCAAGCCCATAGTGCTCTGGTGGAGGAGGTAGTTGTCTCAATGAAAGAACATCATCAATGAGGTAATAGGTGAAGGCATATTGTTAAGAAGCTTGAGGATCATATTGACGAATGTCATCAACAAAGCGTGCTTCATCCCAATACATCGTCAGATTATAAATTTTTGGGTCAGCATTCGTTCCCATTGGAATACCGATAATTTCTTTCTGAAGCGTGTCAATGGTGCCATCTCTAGTGTACAGAAAAGTGTTTTGTACAACAAAACGAAGATGTTGGAGAATCTGAGAACGGAAAGGGCATCCGAGCCTAAATCAGTCGTCCATTGGCCACAACGAGGTCCTCAAATAACCATATTGAGGGCAACGCAGTATGAATGCATGCGAGCATGCCGAAGGGCATAAGCATGAGCTTCATCAACAACTTTCGCCAAATTATTTAGAATGCGGTCATGAGGAAGGTTGGTGTCCATTATGGTACAATCAACAGTGCAAGGAGAGAGGCCACGAAGAGACGATGCATTGTTCTTCAGGTCAATCGTCTCTTTATCGATACTTTGTACGATCCAAAACTGTCAAACACCAACCTTTTTTTTTTTTTTTTTTTTTTAAAGGCCATAATAGACTTATTAGGGAAGGTGATAAGAGCAACCTTCTCTAATAGATCTAGGAAAGGCCGCTCCATCTATTGGTGGGGAGTTGCACCTGTTGGAAAACGGGTCCAGCGCCCCTTTCAAAGTTTCATAAGTTTCATAGAATCGTAAATTGAGAGTAGTACCCGTTTTCCAGCAGGTGTTGCTCCCCACCAATAGATGGAGCCCCTCCCCAGGTGTTAGTGGTGTCTGCTCTTATCAGCAGCACTAACACAGACGTTTTTTTTTTTTTTTTTTTTTTTTTTTTTTTTTTTTTTTT